AGAGAGAGAGAGAGAGAGAGAGAGAGAGAGAGAGAGAGAGAGAGAGAGAGAGAATGAGAGACTCTGGAGTTGGCATAGGCTTTTGAAACCTCCAAGCCCACCCCCAGTGACACACTTGCTCCAACAAGGACACACCTCTTAGTCCTTCTAATCCTTTCAAAGTGCTACTCCCTGGTGACTAAGTGTTCAAATATATGAGTGCCATTCTTATTCAAATGCCACAGTGTCCCATCCACAAAGTACAGACTCAGGCTTAGCACAGAGGCCTAGGTCACATATAAGTCAGTAGTTCTCAGCCTTCCTGATGCTGTAACCCTTTAATACAGTTCCTCTTGTTGTGGTTGACCAATCCCCACCATAAAATTATTTTGTTGCTACTTCATAACTGTAATTTTGCTCCTGTTATGAATTGTAATGTGAATATCTAATATACAACCCCAAAGGGGTCATGACCCACAAGTTGAGAACTGATTATATAGGTGATTAGAAGAGAAAAAAAGGAATGCTCTGGCCTCCAGGGGAGCCAGCAGTTTGGAAGCTTGTTATCCCAAAGGATAACAGGTTATCGGTGAAATGTTAGAGGCATCACATTTCCTCAATGATGTGAATACTGAATACTGAGAACAGGGCAGTGAGCAGCTGGAAGTTGGTGAGCATGGTTTGAGTGGGATGGAGGAGAGAACAGGACAGTCTGAATACAATGTGAAGCACTGGCAATCTGGAAACGCCATCTAGGATGATCCTGAGGTTTTGAGAGATACCTTTTCAGGAAAGGATAATTTGGGCCTTGTCTGGGGGTAGATTTGCTTGTCAATTTATTTATGTGTATGCATTCACATATGAAGAGAATGCTCTCAGATTAACCCCGTATCCGTTCCCACTGAGATTAAAAAGCATACTGTCCCAGCATGTGAATGTGTGCTACAAGGCTGTCTTTCTTTGTTCCCTTCCGCCGTAGGATTGGCTACCACATCCCCATGTTTGCTGGCTTTCTGATCATGTTTCTCTCCACACTAAGTAAGTCATTTGCCTCCCTTCACTACTCATCTTTGATCCATCAAGTAGATGTTGTGTAAGGGAGCAGGACTGAGTTTCCCAGAGGAAAAGAAGACATCTGAACAAGTCAACTGGGACACTGGCTGAAAGGTTTTTGTAGCCATTTGAACAGGGGCTGGGATGGTGTTAGTAACCACCTCCTCTTATTGGAATCATTCTCCTCTTCTATAGGAGAACATATTCTTAATTTACTTCAGTGAAAATCATGAAGCTGTTTGATAGTACACACTATGTATATGTATGTGTATATGTACATTTACTTGTTCAGGTGTGTGTGTGTGTGTGTGTGTGTGTGTGTGTGTGTGTGTGTGTGCACATAACTAATCTCTTGAGCAAGCTTACTGCAAGCCTCCCATCTTTTAAAAAGAGATAGTATTATTTTAGTATGCTATGATAAAGATATTGTTTTAGTATGCTATGGTAAAGGGTGACTAACAACAACAAAAGAATGCTGTATCATAGTAACTAGAAAAGTCCCTAAATCCTACTGTTTCCCAACTAAGCGCACCTTAGCCTACACCTTAGGAAAGTAAATTTGCTAAAGAAACAGGAAAGTAAATGACAAAGCCTATCCAGTATCCGCTTGATGTTCCTAATAAAATGGAGGTGGAGCCAAAACAGTGAGATGAATAGGCCTCATGTTTGACCCTGAGACATGAAGGGATAAAGCACACAGGGTGGGGTGTCCACTTCTAGGGGTTAATGCAGGGAAGACACCTGTAGACCTACGATTGGTTCGTACCGCTTCTCTAATTCCTTGCTCCCAATTACACAGTTTCTCCCTCTTGATTTTTTCTTAGTTTTCTACCACACATCCTCTTCTCTCTTCCTCCTCAGATTTTCTCCCCCACCCCCAGAGTAAGAATTGACCCAATCTAAAGTCTGACAAGAACTAGTTGCATTTAGGGATAGAAGGAAGGCTGGAGTGCAAGAGCTTGAAATGGGATGTTCTTGCTGAGAACTGGAAATACGCTTGGGTAATTAAAAGAAAATGAAGTCACCAGGCTCTGCCGCGCTCTTCTAAACTCAGGGTCACAGAGAAGGTCCTCATCAAACTCCGTGGGACACTAAACAAACCCTAAACCAGTTAATGAAGGCAAGAGACTTAGAGGGGTGGAGGGGCTGGTTGGATCCAGAGGGAAATGGGAGAGGGTGGTGGGGTGGGAACCAGAATGTACAAGTATGAAGCAGTGAAAGAACAAAATTTACTTTAAGAGAGGAAAATTAGGAAGTTCAACTTAGTTCATTAGTTTCCGTAAGTTCAGCCCGTGTTAGAGAGCAAATTAAGGAACACAGTCATCCAATGTGACTTGGAAATTCATTAAAAATTTTTTCTGGAACACATATAAAGAATAAAATATGTTCTAGGTATTTAGAGAAGGATGTAGTAGTTGCCTTGGGAATCATGACCATACCCTGCAAAATAAGACTACAAAGTGTATCTGTGACCCGAGGTATTTAGCATAAAATCCTTGCTTGCTCCTCTGCCAAGAAGCAGTAGATTAAAACCTGTTTCTATTTACTGAACTGTGTGTGTTTAATAACAGTTACAGTTCCCAGGAGGTCGCTAATGCTGCTCTACTGAGCTAGCCTAGTCCTACACAAACAGAAAATATATTTGCCTATTAGGATAGCCTCTGTAAGCCTTACTTGGGCTTTGAATAAAACAATAAGTAAAAACTGGGCATGATGGCACAGGCCTGTAATCCTAGCACTTGGGAGTGAGAAGTAGAAGGCATAGATGGTCAGAGCCATCCTTAGCTATACTGAGTTCAAGGCCAGCCCAGGCTACATGAGGCTCTGTTTCAAAAAAAAAAAATTATTAAGAAGTTGCCAGTGCTTATCGCTTATCACTCCTCTCAAAACCCCTATCTGGGACTTCTTGATGTAACTGGGAGACAAATAATGGCCCATATTAATTTAGAAAAATGAAAAGGAGCCAGGTGGTGGTGGCATACACCTTTAATCCCATCTCTTGGGAGTCAGAGGCAGGTGGATCTCTGTGAGTTTGAGGCCAGCCTGGCCTACAAATCAAATTCTAGGACAGAGAGAAAACTTGCCTCGGAAATAAAAACCAAAACCAAATAAACAAACAAAAAAAAAATGGAAAAAAAATGATTGCTTGTTTTCAATTGTGACCGATTGTCTTGGTTTTCCTGAGATTGAGGTTTTCCACAATGTGATTTTCAGTTTTGAAACTAATTTTTTGTCCCGGGTAACGAAAGACAAATAGGCTACTCCATTCTTTAAGGACATAAAAATAGTGGTGTTTGAGCACACTAGATATTAGAAAGTCAGAGAATGGGCATTGGAGGCCAAAAAAAGAGGGACAGAGAATGTGTGTTTTGGGGAGACAATGAGTAGTTGGGTGTGGTCATGTTGGGCTGTAACTGAAGAACATAAAACACAACCAAACACACCTATAATAAGTGGTCAGGAGAATTAAAGTTTGTCTGGTTCAGACACCTTGGGAAGGATTCTTTTTTCTTTGGAGATATTGTTTGGGAGTCCAGGATGAGCAATGTCTGGGTCTAAAAACACAACCTCTACAACCTGTAATTTGGTTTGAGACAGCACTCTCCAGTTAGCCTCTCAGCTTCATTTGTGTTAGTCTCTAGTAGGTGGTCCATCAAGGACGTCAGCTGATGTGTTCTTTCTTTTTCACATCTGCTAGCAGTCCAGCACACTCTATCATTTAGTAAATCCCAATTTGATTGGGTGGAAGCATCTTCCACCAAGGGGAAAGGTCAGATAGAATGTAAGATGTCTTCTATCCAATGTCTATGGCCCTCGGGGTGCACACAACAGATGGCCCAGGATGGCCCAGCAATGGCAAGGGGCCATTGTAATCCAGAATTCAGGAGTAGGGATAGGTACCAGTTCCCAGTTTCAGTGGGAAGAACATCAGACTAGCAGTAAACAAGCACAGAGACCCCGCCTTCTTTCCACTGTGTACTGACTTGATTCATGCATCTGTGGCTGCTCAGCGTTTTCATCAATTCAAAATCGGTCCTAATTGAAGACTTGGAGTGATTAAGTAGTTAACTTCAAGAACAAAAAGCAAACATCACCATGCTTTCTTCTCCCCTTTATATTTAAATAATGGGTCTCATCTCATCATGCATGCTTAAGATCCATGTAATAGTGACTCATCTTTCTGTGGAATCTGAGTCAGCTTGCTAATTCTTTTTTTTTTCCTAAGAAAGATTTGACATTTATTTATTGTGTTATTTATTTACTATACGTGCATATGTATGCCACCGAATGCATTAAGTTCAAAGGACGACTTGCAAGAGTTGGTTCTCTCCCACCATGTGGGTTCTGGATCAAACTCATGTCGCAGTCTTCACAGCAAGCACCTTTACTCACTGGTGCTCTCTCTGGCCTAAAAAAAGAATTTTAAAAAACTGTTGTTTTATTAATGTCCTATTTTGGTTTTTGTTGTTGTGATAAAATACTCTTACCAAAAGCAACTTGGTGGAAAAAAGAGTTTCTTTGGCTTACAGAGTATAGTTCATGGTTGGGGAAAGCCAAGGCAGAAACCCAGAGGCAGAAACTGGTACAGAGATCATGAAAGAAAGGTGCTTACTAGCTACACCCTAATGACTTGGTTAGCTACATTTTTCATATAATCCAGGACCACCTGCCAAGGAATGGCACTGCCCATGTTGGGCTAGGCTCTCCTGTATCAATTAACAATTAAGAAAATGCCTCACAGACATGGCCGCAGGCCAATCTGACCTAGGTAATTCCTCAACTGAGGTTACCTCTTCCCAGATGACTCTGGGCTATGTCAAGTTGATTGCTGAATCTGGCTGTGACAAACTAGTTAATCTAACATTTAATAATGGGCTTTGTTATGATCGTTTCATGCATTATAGTATGCACCTTTGAGCATGTTCGTCCCCATCCCCAATTACCCTCTTTTATCCCTTCTCGATTTTCCTCTTCCCAATGAGCCCCCTTCTACTTCCATGTGTGTTTTGGTGACCCAACAAGTTTCATTAAGGTTACTTACAGAAGCATGGGTGGGGGGCCATTTACAGGAGCATGAGCAGCCTACTAGAGGCTATACCACTGAGGGAATGTTTCTCCTCACGCTGACCAGGATCATTCTGACTCTTTTCTTCCCCAGTGTTTGCTTTCTCTGGCACCTATGCCCTGCTATTTGTGGCTCGAACCCTTCAAGGCATCGGATCTTCATTTTCATCTGTTGCAGGTAAAGCTGCAACACACACACACACACACACACACACACACACACACACACACACACACACACACACCTTTTTTTTTTTAACCACTACTTAATTACTTTAGGTACTACATAAAATTTATATGAGGAAATAAAAGGAAATGCCATCCAGGGAGATAGCAATTAAGATTTAGGAATAAAGTGATTGTGGATTTGTGGGAGGGGCCCGTAGATCCCTGGCCTGGATTAACTTCAGAAGGTGTACAGGTGCAGCTAGCTCAAATCAGAAGAAGCCCAAGGTTCTTATCTACTCCCACATCAAGGCCTTTCCTTAGCGTTGCTTTTATTTAATGGGAACTGTTACTTCAGTAATGTCCTCACAGTTTTCCAAGTATTGCTAAGCAAAGATGTCACAGTCTCCCGTGGGGCTGCTGTGCTGTGCCACTCACCCAACTGAATGGCCTGATGGCACAGTTACTAGATGTTGCCAGCCCATTTTCTCTCCCAGGTGCCTCATATTTTAGTGTTCCTCCTTGAGTGCCATACTGAATACAGTAGTCCACTCATATGTCTTCCCTTCCTGGCCTGGTCTGTGACCTCCACATGCGAGGAGATCTATTAGGAAATGACAAAAATCCTATGAAACATGAAATAAGTAGACAATAGTATTATTGTATTACCCTCCCTCGAAGGCTTTTTGTTTTTTACGATATAACAACATCAGCACCAAACTAATAAGTTATGTGTAGGGGAGGAGAGAGAGGCGACTGTGGAAGGCAGTATTTGCTATATACTGTGGGCTGAGTTTTATAAAAGCCCGCAAACGAAATATCCAGCAAAGACAGCCACTTAAGATGTTATCGGGCTGGGACCACGGGCTGTAAGAAGCAGTCAGCAACCTCCCATGTGCTAACTTCAGCTGTCCTTTCCTATTCAGGGCTCGGGATGCTGGCCAGTGTCTATACCGACAACTACGAGAGAGGGAAAGCCATGGGAATTGCTTTGGGGGGCCTGGCTTTGGGGCTTCTGGGTAAGTAGCACCTAGACAGAGGCCTGAGTTCAGGAGATGGGGGTGTTGCAAACCCCACAATCTGATGGCTCCAGGAGGTAGGGACTTCCCTGTCGTGGAAGACAAGTAAGTATTGTCCTTGCCTCTCTGGCCCAAGTGTGTTGACTCTTTCAGAAAGATCACCATGGAAAGGTGTCATGTCTTTCTCCTTAAGTGGCTGTGAAATGCATGAGGGCCCGGGGAAGTCCTGAAGGCCACCCTGTCCAAGGGAGTGAATGTCCCACATTACTGGGCACTGCCTGCCTCACCTCTATGCACAGCCGGTGCTTTCCACAGGAGAGCTGAGCTTTTGCCAGAGTCTCTGCTGATTTCATAGAAGTAATGTCCTTTAATCCTTACCACCAACTTGTGAAGATGAACGGCTGTCCCCAGGCTAGAGATATTAGAAAGATTAAGGAGCTATCCAAAGTAATGCCAGGGCCAGGGATAAGGACTCCGATTTTCTGTACTCAGAAGTCCCAGCTCCAAATAATAAATATACTTATGTTTTCCTTGATGTTTAGACTTCATATTGACTAATTCAACAAGCTGCTTCCTTTTGCTGAGCGCTCTCTCCATGCCAAGCACAATGCTGGCGCAGATGGCAGAGAGGTTAAAGGATAATGTTCTGCCCTCAGGCAGTTTACAAGCTTGCTGAGGGGAAGATCCAAGTCTCATTCTTCCCCTACCAGCCACCATGGTAGAGAAGAGAGGGAAGAAAGCCCCATTTTTTGTTAGTAGCCATGTGGATACCCAGCCTTGGATGTGGGTCACATTAGACTCCTTTATCACAGTTACTTTTAGTAGAATGAGCATGCTACATCCCTGAGAGACCCTTCAAGGTCAGCCCATCCCTCTTTCATGGTTTGAACATGGCACTAACCTCCTACAGGTTCTCTTTCACACCTGCTCCTTCCTTCATGATACACACTACCAGAAGAGCCTACACCTGGTGGCGTTTCTTCTCTGTTCGAAAGTACCCTGTTTCTCAATAACCAACAAGGCTATTGTTGGTTACATCAATAGATAGCTCATCTGGCTCTCGGGAGCCCTTGATTGATGTTGCCTCAACCATCCTCACCTTCACATTTCCCCAGTACTCATGCGGCATTGACATCAGTCTTCACCCCCACGTGTACCCCCATTCAGACCCTTCAGTGTTGCCCCTACACATTGCCCCAGGTGCGGTGGACTTGGCAAAGTGGTCACAACACCTCGGCCTTTCTGACCTATTCCACTGGACTTACACAGCACTTCATGCACAAGATCATTTACTGTGGAGCGTTTGGCCACATTTCAGTTACTTGTGCTATTGCCTCCCCCATCCATGCCCTGCTAAATCTCCTTTACTAGAAAGGAAGTCTTTGAGGACAGAGACTGAATCTTCACCTCTGAACCCGCCCCCCAGCCTCGGTGGAGCTTAGACCCTCCAGGCCTCCAGTAAAGGCTGAGTGGGTGATCTGGAAGAGTCGCATTGCAGGTGTCTGTAATGTCTTTCCTTTCAGTGGGGGCACCTTTCGGAAGCGTGATGTATCAGTTTGTGGGCAAGTCCTCTCCATTCCTCATCTTGGCCTTCTTGGCACTTCTGGATGGAGGTAGGTCAATGCCGGTGCCTCCAGACAGATAATAGTTCGGCTCAGGTTGGAAATGCATTATGCCATGACGTCTATTTTGACATGTTTAGATGGGTCAGGGATTACCCCATTCTAGGAAAAGAGGAAGAACTGAGGGAGTCAGGGTGGTAGCTAAGCGGCCATTAGTAAAGCCCCAGATAATCAATGAATAAACAGAACTGTCCCTCTGTCTCCCTTTTTTTTTTTTTTTTTTTTTTTTTTTTTTTTTATCAGCTCTCCAGCTTTGCATCCTATGGCCTTCCAAAGTGTCTTCTGTGGTAAGTGGACACGAAACTCCATTGCTCTGGGATAAGTAGCATGGCTGAGCACAGGAGAAAGGGGAAGTCAAGAAAAGTGAACCCCAGATTTGGACTCCAGGCAGGCCTACACGTAGGGTAGCAAAGGAGTCTGGCTTGGTGTCGGACAAAGATGGAAGCGGGGCTATAGAAAGAATCAAGTGTTTTCTAAGGGATGAGGAAGGTGACGGAGACCTCCGGACAACCAAGAGCATCCCCCGCTGACCACCATTCAGTTCTAGTCAAGAAATACCAGAGTTTGTGTTCGTCTGACCCCAAGCCAGAGATGGCTCTGAGAACTCCAGATCAAGCTATACTTGAGGGATGTGGGCACAGCGTTGAGCAAGGAGTTGCCCAGCGTGTGAGCAGTGATCAAGAAGGTGCTGGGGCGCAAGCATTTTTCGTGTGACAGAAGCCGTGGAGCCAGTGGAGAAGGGATGAATGTGCCCACTATTGCTGGGCCAGGTCCCCCTCGCATTGGCGAATTGTCCGAAGCCAACAGAGAAGGGATTGTAACAGTAGAGGTAGAGAAGGATTGGACACCATTGGAAGGGGAAGGATGCATCTGAGCTGGAGGAGATTCTAGATCTGAAGAGCGAGGGGTGAGATCCTCTACAAAGTTTGATAGAAAGAACATACTGCGTGCGGATGATGATACTGTGGCCTGAGTGTCAGTGGGGAGACTATAAAGAAGTTTTCTTTGAATGTAGTGTAATACTTTGCTGTATGAATTGGTAGGGACACAATCATTTTGTAACATTGGTATAGTATTTTGGGGATGTATAGACCATTACCATCTGGGAGCCAAAGCTATCTAGAAAGATACATTCAAAGGGTATTAATCTCTCTATTGCTATTTTCCCCTTTCCTTCCCTCACCTCTAGCTCTTAAAAGTGATCCCTTTAATTCTTTTCTATGTTTTTCTGCCAAATGATTTGTGTGTTTTCTTATGGTTACCCCACTTTTCTTCCATAAAAGGAAACATATTCTATATGCTTCTTTACATCTTCCCCTCCCCATTTAATAATGTTTCCTGAAAAAAACATCCCGTCACTGTTGTGCAGTTGTGTGATCCACATTAGGGAAGAAAACCTGTCATTCTGTTTCCTGTTTGTGCATTTAGGTGGTTTTCCGTACGTTGCCATCACAGACAGTACTTCAGTTATTAGCCTCGTGAACATGCATTTTATAATGCTGGAGGTGGTGCTTTCTTCTCTGTCTGACTGTCTTCCCTCCCTCCCCACCCCTGGCAGTACTGTAGTAGGGACTAAACACAGGGCCTCTCACAGCCCACCCAGGCAAGCACTCCCCCACCAAGCTGTACATAACCCAGCTCTGGCAGCAATCATTATGTATCTTTAACTGTGATGCTGGCTTACTTCTCTGTGTATGTGTTTACTGTTTGCATCTATTTCTTCACTTTGATTTGCATGTGGGGTGAGGTTATTATAATTTTGGTTTTGGCATCTCTATATTTATCCATTGTTGTGTGTGCATCATATGCGGTTGTTGTATCCAGACTATTAAATCTCGCATGTGATAGAGTAGACTGCACACCAGAGGTTAGGAAATACTCCGTGGTTCCAACTACTGAGTCAGGCAACACTGTGGGAAAGGTGGGATTTGAACTTGATCTGGAAGAACAGGTAAGATGGAGAACTCTGGAGATGAGAAGGGTGGTAATTCAGGTAAATGTAACAAAAGGAAGGTGGGGTATAGCTGGTTTAAGGGTAATGCCATGAGAGCGGGGTGATCAAGGCTGGTCATTAGGACCAGCATGTAAACACAGGCGTTCAAGCTCCCCGACTGCACAGCGCAGCTCAGAATGGATCAGAGGAAGAACCGGGACAGCTTGAGGCGCCTTCTCCTGTAGCACTTCCACACTCACCTTGAGGTTAAGTGCTCTGCCTGTTGTCAAGTGCTGCCTGTGGGGCAAACAGTTTACAGAGAGATGTAGTGGAAAAGCCCTGGACACTTATTGACAATCCTGGCCTTGCTTCCAGTCATTGGAGGTAGGAATTATATCCAATACATGGTATGCTGCTCTGATTGCCTCAGGACTTGTACACAACATGGACTCTGTCTCCAGCTGGGATACCTTTCCCTAGACCCGAGTTTCTTGGTCTCTGCAGTGAAGGAGACAATGATGTCTAAGATTGTATCTTAGATCCTGTGAAAGTCTGTAGAAATGAAAGGTTCTGTTATTTGTTTTCTCAGAGTGCCATGGGGACTCCACTTCTGACACTTCTCAAAGACCCTTACATCCTGGTAGCAGCAGGTAAGCTGACCCCGCCCCCCCTCTCTGTGGGAAGAGTCAGGCTTTAGGCACTGACTCACAGAACTATCTCTCAGGTTCCATCTGCCTGGCCAACATGGGAGTCGCCATACTAGAGCCCACACTGCCCATCTGGATGATGCAGACCATGTGCTCCCCTGAGTGGCAGCTAGGTAAGTGACCTGGGTCCCCAGCAAAGGCTGAGGCACCAGGCAGGGGCTGGGGGCCTTTTTGAAGGTAATCAACAGCCATCAAGTCCGGGTCATCAACCTCTCCAAGGGACAGTACACTCCCTTCATAGACTCAGCTCCATGTCCACACCCATGAGCTGAGTCCAGATGGGTGGGTGGAGAGTCACCTTGTGAAAGATGGTGGGCAATGGAAAGGTCAGGCCTAGTACTATAGTAAAACTCTTCAGTATTGCTAGCCCAAGGCCTGTTTCTGTTTCCAGAGCATCGGCTGGCAATATAAATTTGTGAAAACCACTTATTCTTTCTGTGTTACTTTTCTCGTTGCTGTGACAAATTACCCAACAAACAGCAACCTAACAAAGCAAGGATTTCTTTTCCGCTCACGACTTGGGAGGATGTCTTCTGTCTTGGTGGGGAAGGCCTGAAGAGTTAAATATTGCTGGGTGGCCTCAGTTCTGGAGGGACCATGAAATAGAGGGCAGGGGATGCCTGCACTCATCTTGTGTTCTTTTCAAATTCCTTTTTGTTTTGGCTAGGGCCCCAGCCTGAAGGACGGTGCTTTCCACATTCAGTGTAGGTCTTCCCTCTTCACTAAACCTCTCTTCAAACACCCTCCCAGACTTCCCAGGGTGTGTCTCTTAGCGATTCCGATCCAATAATTGATAAAAATTAACTACCACACTTTCTAAGCATCACTTTTAAAGAATCTTTTATTTTTATAAAATTATAAGGTAAAATTTTGTTTTGTTGTTCCAGCCAGTGAGGCAGATGGGCCGGAGAATATCAGCTCCATTTACAGACAACCATGCTGTCTGTTCTTTATTTTTGGCTAGTTCTGGAGCTAAATCCCAGGGTCCCCATGCAAACTGGGTGAGATGCTAGCACTGAGCTCCAGTCCCAGCCCTGCTGTCTTCTGGTAATAAACTTGGTGCCTCTGAACGTTTTTCCATGACTTTGTACCACATTACTTTGAAGTAATTGGGTTTCCCAATTGAGTACCACTTGACTAGTGTCTGAAATGAGCACGTCAGTGCTATGTGCTTCCAAGAGCAATTGTAGAAATGAATGGTGCTCTGCACCTGAGCACCGTGTAGGATCACAACCAACCACACTGTCACTACCTCCTTTTGTTGTCTTCTGTACTCTAGAAAGGGTCTTCAGCCTCCATCCAGTCCATAATTGAGGCCCCCAGCCTCTTCTGCTCCACGGAGGCCTTGAACTTGAGTGAGCTTAGAGAGAATGCCTGGGCCTCTTCCAGGAAACCTGAGGACGAGGGGAGCAGGAGAAGCTACGTGCAAACAGCTCAGTCACTACAGGCAGGAGAGGCTGGAGGTGCCAGAGGGGAAGCTGATAAGAACTGGATATAGCTCAATGTACCATAAAAAATACAGAATCTAATTTCAAGGGACCAATTCTAAGCAGGGCTCCAGCTGCACACCCAACTTCAAATTGAATTTCTTGCGCTGTAACTGCCTCTGACCAAGACAATTAATTGAGTTAGGCAGAGCTCGGTGCAGATAACATCGCTTCAGAGGGGGTTCTGGCCACTCTGGCTCCTGGTACTAGTGAGCGCACGACAGCCTGGAGCAGCACTAGCCCGGAAATCCAGTTAGCAGCCTCAGTTACAAGTGACAAGTCACTTGGTCACCGTGTTCCAGCATCTCTTATTACTTTTCCCAATGCTGTCTGCGCCTATAAACTCCACACATTCTAGATGATGCTGGAGGCTTCGAAGCAAGTTGGCAAAACAGGTTAACTCCACCCCACTCCTTTTTTCCCCCAATTTATTTTTGTGTTCAATACATCCTGACCACAGTTTCCCCTGCTCCTCCCCTCCACTCCCCTACCCATCTCCCCTCTCTCCCAGACCCCCTCCTCCTCCATTCCCTTCAGAAAAGAGCAGGCCTTCCAGAGATGTCCAGTGAATATGGCATAACAAGATACAGTAACATAGACCCTCATATCAAGGCTGGGTGAGGCAACCCAGTGGGAGGAAAAGGGTCCCAAGAGCAGATAAAAGAGTCAGAGACACCCTGACTCCCAGCTGTAATGACACACACTGGTATGATTTGCTGGAGGAGGCTCAGGCAGGAGGATCACAAGTTTGAGGCCAGCCTGGACTATACTCCCATCTTTTTTGATCTTGATTTTTTTTTTTTTTTTTGAGACTGGGTTTCACATAGCCTGTTCTGGCCTTGGACTGGATATGTAGACAACCTAGCCTTGAACTCTTGATCCTCTTGCTTCCATCTTCCAAGTGCTAGTACCTTAGGCTTTGAGGCATGTGCTCACACTCCCCATGGAGCAAGTGATATTTCTAATAAGTTTCCAGGGGACAATGGTATACACCACACCTGTTGTCAATCACCCTTAGAAAACCAATGTCCATGAAGAACACTTCTCCAGTTTGCAGGAAGGAGCAAAGGTAAAAAAACAAACTAACAAATCAAACAATAACAACAACAAAAACTGTTGAGAGTGATGTGTGGTCTGAATTAGACCTTGTACCACATGGCCAATGCATCCTGGGTACTGCTACTACATATAGAAGATAACACTGACTTTGGAGACAGGTGTACCATGGTTTGAATCTATGCACATCCATTTATCAATTATCATGTTGGAGAGCTCTGTTTTTTTCTTTTCTTATTTATTTAGACAAGATCTCACTATACAGCGTGGACTTGTCTCAATCCTCGGTGCTGGGATTATAGATGTGCACCACCATACCTTTCTTCATTTTTCATTTGTAAAATGAAGATATCTTTCAGTGTCTTGGTCTTTGTACTTATGTCAGGGAGGTTAGGGCAGTGCATGGATTATAGGATTTACTAAACTAGTAATTTATCTTGACAACCATGGCTATGTGAGATCCACCCTTGAAGACAGGCTGTGAACAGTATGTGGGTGTTGATTAGCCTAGAACGCAAAGTACTGCTAAAATACCAGCTAGAGTCAGGTGCTGTGGAACAAGTGAGTGTTTAAGGAAAGCCTCATTTAGGAAATTTCACACAATTTACAGGGGTGTCAAGGAGACAGGGAGCTAGGCCAGCAAGCTTCCTCTTTCTATGTATCAGCTACACCATTCAGTAGTTATTACCTCTAAACTTTCACAAGCAGTTAAGCACACATGAACAGGTACAGTTTGAAACAGATTGCGACCCTGGGCCGATAAAGTAGGCAAACACAGGAGGGCATGCTTCACTTCTGCTGCAGAGAAGATAATATTAAAAGCAAACAAGCTGCTGCCAGGCCCTGGCCAACTGTTTACAATGGGCTTTGGGATCAGAGTCATGATGCTTTCTATTGGGTTATATTGTTTCCTCGAGGTCCAAAAGCGGCACAGGGCGGGGCCAGTGAGACCCAAAGAGACTCACACTTCTGGTTCCAAGCAGACCCTCAGGCCAGAGCTGGCCACCAGTCACTCTGGTGGGCTTGGGTAGCGGGAACACCTGCCTTGGAGTGAAATGCCTGGGTTCACCCTGACCATCACAGGTCATGATAATAATTGAGGCAAGTGTTCACAGGGCACTTCTGTGCCCAGCCAGTATAAAAGATATGCAGTGTTTTCCTTATTTTTATGTTTTATTATTTTTTGTTTTCTACAAACATTTTTAACTTTTTAAATAATTTCATAAGTACTTTTATCATAACCAGCCCCCCAGCCTCTCCAACTCTTCCCATGTTACCCTATCTTCCCTTTAAAATGATGGCCTTGTCCTTAATTATTATTTTTTTTAGTGTATGTGTATGTGCTCATGTATGTGTACATGTGCATGTGTGTGTACATGCATATGTGTGGGTCCAATAGTGAGTCCAATAGTGTTGTTCATATGCTCATGAGTGCTGGGCTGACTACTTGGGCATGGACAATTTTCAAAGGGGCTCATCCTTGAAGAAAATTGAATCCCCTTCCTTCCAATGCTTGTTCATGAGCCCTTCCCCCAGGTACATTGGAATACTGCCTGGTGTGGTCTCGTGCAGACAACCATATTAGTGAGGTTTCATGGATGCAGCTTCCTGTCACATCTAGAGCACACTATTTAGCAGCAGTCTCCTTGTCCTCGGGCTCTTACACGCTGTTACAATGCTCCCTGAGTTTTAGGTATAAGGTTGTGTTACTCTGTCCATCTGGGGACAGAGTCCTTTATTCTCTGTATTTTGACCAGTTGTGGGATTTTGTAATAGTCTCCATCTGTTACAAAAAGAAGAAGCTTTTTTTTTTAAAAAATGAGAACTGAGAGCCTATGCAGTATTTTCTTGGTGAATCACGACCATCCTGTCCCTGTGTTAATTGATTCTATTTTTATAACAAAACATCTGAAGTGGGCTGATTTCATAAACTTACGAAGTTTTGGAGGTGAATGGTACCAACACCATACATAGTGCTGGTCTAACCAGGGACTCCGGGGGATGGTACCAACACCATAGTGCTGGTCTAACCAGGGACTCCGGGGGATGGTACCAACACCATAGTGCTGGTCTAACCAGGGACTCCGGGGGATAGTACCAACACCATAGTGCTGGTCTAACCAGGGACTCTGGGGGATAGTACCAACACCATAGTGCTGGTCTAACCAGGGACTCCGGGGGATGGTACCAACACCATAGTGCTGGTCTAACCAGGGACTTCAGGGGATGGCAGCAGCATTTACAATTCAGGATTCAATTCCATCCTTTAACTCACTCCAGAAGAGTTCTAGCTACCTTAATATGTCTCCAGAAAAACCCCTCTGACAATCCAAGGACCTGGCCCCACCTCCAGCAGGATCTCATGTGGTGGCTTTGAAATCACTGTGTAGCTGAGGTTGAGAATGAACTGATCCTTCTGCCTCTACCTCCAGAATACTGGGATTACAGGTGTGTGTGACCATGCTGAGATTATGGTATTTATGACCACAAATCTAAAGTATGTTTTTCTGCTAATGGTCTTCCTAGATGCCGCTATTATATACTCCCTTTCATCTTCCAGGGGCTCCTCTGGTTCTGTCACCATCTGTCCCCTTTCCTGCACCTGTGCCCTCAGATGCCGCCTTCTCTCTGAGGATGGCCGAAACATTGCACTGACTCCCCCTTGCCTCCTTAGCTGTACCCCTCAGTTCATCAGCTTCTCCTCTCCTACTGTGATACCTTTCAAAGATAAGAATTCCACCCTTGGGCTAAAGAGGTAGCTCAGGGGTTAAGAGCACTTCCTTGTTTCTCCAGAGAACCAGGGTTCTATCGCCAGCACACATATCATGTCTCACAATGTGTAACTCCAGTTCCAGGGGAACCTGATGCCTACTGATGGCACTTAATGGACAAGATGCCCATATAGACATGGCGCACATATGGACAAGCAGGCACACACTGATACACATGAGGAAAACATTTTAAACTGGGTGTGGTGACACACACCTTTGTTTGATCCTGGCACTCAGGAGGCAGAGGCAGCTAGATCTCTGTGGGTCCAGATCTAGCTTTGTCCACATAGTGAGTTTCAGGACAGTCAGGGTTATGAAGAATAAAAAAAAAGGAAGCCTATCCTGTGGTGTGCTGACTTGGATATCTGTTCTCTTTCTGAGCTTTTGCAGATAATCCCAACCATTTCCAATATTAAAACAAAATAAGTATGTGCTCTTAAAAATACTCTATAATTATGAAGCTGGGTGGTGGTGATGCATGCCTTTAATCCCAGCACTTGGGAGGCAGAGGCAGGCGGATCTCAGTGAGTTCAAGGTCAGCCTGGTCTACAGAGTGAGTTCCAGGACAGCCAGGACTGTTACACAGAGAAACCCTGTCTTGAAAAATAAGAAGAAAAAAAACCCTCTATAATTATGAATATTTGTGTGTGGCCTTGGGTATGTGCATGTGAGTGCAGGTACTCACAGAGGCCAGAGGTGTCAGGTCCCTCAGGAGCTAGTATGGGCAGTTGTGAGCCACTCAATGTGGTTGCTAGGGACAGAAGTCAGGTCCTTTGCAAGACCAGTAAGTGTTCCCCATCACTGAGCTATCTCTTCAATCCCCATTTTCATGACCTTAAAAACCAAGTAGAAACCAGCAAGTCCTGAGCTTGTGTGTTCATGACCTCTCCTTGGAGCCCTGCCCTGGTACATTTGCCTGTGTGGCCTTCCACATGGTTGTTTCAAGCCCTTCATGATCTCCCTGACTTTTCCTCCCCACTGGTCTCCATGACCCAGTTGATGGAAAAGAAAAGCTCTAGTTCTCATTATTCCTCTCTTCTCACTCTCCTTGTGCCCCACCCCCCACCCCATGGCATGAGAGGAAGCTCTATAACTCCACCCTAAAAATAATTCCAGTTTTGTTTACTCCTCTCTGTTATGGCTTCCAAGTGGAGACTGACTTTTCCTCGGGGCTTGAGATGATCTCTGGCTTCACTCCCATCCTGTGAACCCATTCTTCTAAGAATTTATAGAAAATACAAGTTGGGCTGTTTAATTCCTCTCTGAAAGTTCTCATGTGCTCTCTGCTCACAGGTCCCAGCCACCCAGGCAGCCTTCCTGCTCCTGTAGCACACTAAGTGGTTTCTTTATGCCTCTGAGCTCGTGTTAGGTGCTTCACATGTTTCTGTCTTCTCTTTTTTGGTACTAGGTCTCAGCTTAAGCACCACCCATCAGCCTTTCCTTGGCTTCCCAAATGCTTGGTCATCTTTCCTCCAGTTATGCTGACATATGGCTACATGAAATTTCTTTCACATTTTTTCAAACATCTTTTCATTTATTTTTTTAGTGTTTATTTTAGCATTATTACTCATCATAATAAAATAAACTATTTTATCATTCACTATCTGTCTCTCCTTGAATGTGAACTCCCTTTGAGTTATGATCATCCTTTGGGTTTATTTGCTTGTACTCGTGTATTTTAAGATAGTGTCTTGCTATGTAGACCTTGAATTTACAATCCTCTCCATTCAGCCTAGTAGAGCAGCCATCAGGGGTCTCAAGAAAAAAATGGCCACATTATCCAAAGTACTTCTGTAAGGCAAAAAGGTAGAAGGGTACTTATCTGCTAACTGCTTAATCAAGCAAGCACTCCATGGGGCTCCTGTGCCTCTCTTCAGTGGTTTGCATTCTTACTTGATTGGTTAATGGACACTGGCACAGCTGATAAGCACAATAAAACATTTGACCATATATTCTGATTTTGGAGAAAATGCCAATTTTTGTATTTTTTCTATTTTTTTTTTTTATTAAAATAGCGCTTCCCTTCTCTTGCTTAATGCTTTGGTAGAGAAGACAGCACGTTTTCCTTGTGTTTCCTATGGCCTCCCCTGTACTGGGATTACAAACTTGCACCACTGTGTTTGTTTCTATTTTTTTTTTTTTTTTTGGTTTTTCAAGACAGGGTTTCTCTGTGTAGCTTTGTGCCTTTCCTGGAACTCGCTTTGTAGACCAGGCTGACCTCGAACTCACAGAGATCTGCTTGGCTCTGCCTCCCAAGTGCTGGGATTAAAGGCGAGTGCCACCACTGCCCGGCTCTATGTTTATCCTTTAAAAGAAATTTTATTTTATATTTTATGTGCATGGGTGTTTTGCCCATATGTATGTTTTCTGCACCATATTCGAGCCTAGTGCCCAGGAAACTGGAGTTACAGACAACTGTGAGCCACCATGAGGGTGCTGGGTTGAACCTGGGTCCTCTGGAAGAGCAGCCAGTGCTCTTCACTACGGAGCCCTCTCTCCAGCCCCTCTGTGTTGCTCTTACTTAGTGCTTAATTACTGGCCTTAAGACTACCTGCCAATGGTAAAAGCTCATCAGACAGAACACAAGAAAGGAGGAAAGAGATGGGGGGGGGGGGGGGGAGAACTCGAAAATAACAAGTACAATTTCCAGGTCACATAGCTCACAAGTGGCCAAGCCACACACTGAACCCCAAACTCTGTGCTCCAAAACCCATGTTCCGGATCATCTCACTCCACTGTCATAAAGGATGTGGCCAGGGCAGTAGTTAATGAAAGGCTTTTACAAACATTTTCCAACTTGTTCCCACCGTTACCTGGCGGCAGATAGTGACAGCTTCCCTCTACTCTGATGTGGGAGCCAAGGCTCAGAAAGGCAAAGACCATAGGCAAAGCAACAAGAGGACAGGTCACAAGCAAGCGAGGGATTTGACTTCCCAGGAATCTCATACTCTAGTGCTGATAACCAAGTCAATTTTATACATGCCAGTGGCTTACTGAGTCTCTTGTCAGGAAGTCTGGGAGTGCAGAGCATTGAGGCCAGGCGGTGGTGGTGGTGCACTCCTTTAATCCCAGCACTTGGGAGGCAGAAGCAGGCGGATCTTTGTGAGTTCGAGCCAGCCTGGTCTACAGAGCGAGATCCAGGAAAGGCACAAAGCTACACAGAGAAACCCTGTCTCAAAAACAGAACAAAACAAAACAAAACAAAAACAAAAACAAAACAAAACAAAACAAAAAAAAAACATATTGAGGCTAAAAAAAGCCCTGGTCCCGAGGAAAGCAGGGCTGTGGGGTCCTGAGACTTCTGCTCTGGAGTTGTGGAGTTGCACAAAGATCTCCAAAGCAGACAACAAAGTGGCTTGGGGACCTGGAAGTATCAGGAGTACTTTGCTGAACTGTAGGAAATTAGATGCTTTAGGTTAAGTTGAGCACATCCTAAAGTGAGCTTCTGTGTCCTCCACAGGTCTGGCCTTCTTGCCTGCCAGTGTGGCCTACCTCATTGGCACGAATCTTTTTGGTGTGTTGGCCAACAAGTTGGGTCGGTATGTAGCCTGGGAAACTGGAAGAATGACTGAACTATCACTTAACAGTGTCCTTTGAGCTTGTCCCTGTACTTGGGACAGCTTCTCTGAGACAGTCTAGGACACAATGATAAAAATTGCCATGAGAGAAGTTGATGGGTAGGTGATGAGGACAGTATAGAGGATGGGTTATCCTGAACTGACTGCAGTGGTTACATAGAGTTAGCCCTTCCTTTCCAGCTAAAGAGGTAATGCCAGCCCAAGAACCAACAGCTGCAAAAAAGAAAAAGGAAGCAGTATGTATTTTAGGGCAGCAGTTGCCAAAGTCTATTCCATGGAACCCTAGGGTATTCTAGACAGGAACAACAGAAGCCCATGATGGGGGCAAGAAGTATGAATCTAGATTCTCTTCCCCTATTACAATGATGAAATAGCTTTGGTTTTAATTTTATCATTGAAACTCAGCACAAAGATTCTAAAAACACATTTGAAAACACTGTTATAGGTATGAAGAGGTAGGCATATTTACATGTGGTGTTTGAGATGGATTTGTAAGACCATGTGTATTATGAGTAGGTAGAGTCTGAACTGGGCTGTAGAGAGGAATCAGTGGGTAAAGGCATTGGCTGCAAAAGCTTAGTGACCTGAGTTCAATCCCTGTAACCCACATAAAGGTAGAGAGACTCACTCCACAACGTTGTCCTCTGATTTGCACATGCATGCTGTGGTGTGCCTCCTCTCACATCACCCCCCCCCACACACACATATACACACTCTCTCTCACACACAAATAATAATAAATAAAAAACTATAAAAAGGAAGTAACCTGAACAGGCAAACACCTGTAATCAAGGGCACGAGCATCTCCCAGGAGCCGAGTACCTTGGAACCAGCAGACCAGTTCTAAGGGAAACAAGCTACGTCTCACTGTCCTACTCCAGACACTGCTATGAGGAGAGCTATGAGGTCAGGGAAGAGATGAGGTCAAGCAAATGACAGGGACAGAAAGGGTTCAACCTGGCCTGTAGTCTCTGTGCACTTCCTTCCCCTAATCTAAGGGATTAAATTAGGGTGTGCAGGACTGGCCAAGGTGGCAGGTAGTAGCCATCTCTCTGCAGACAGTGTGTGATGATGCCCTTTTCTTCCAGGTGGCTGTGCTCCCTCGTTGGAATGGTGGCAGTAGGAATCAGCTTGCTCTGTGTAAGTACAAGGCCCACTTGAAAAAGGAAGCACACTGGACATTTTAAGACAATTTCGCTTCAAATGAGCAGCAGGCTGACTTGGTAGGAGTTTCTAGAAAACTGTTTGTACATGAACAGACATTGGTGCTGGAGGAGATGCCATCAACTGAAACGGCATGCCATCAAAAGAAGGAGAAAAAGCAGAGGCGTAGGGCTGTGGGTGGGAGGAGCCAGAGGTGTGAGGCTGTGCACAGAGACATGTGAAGTGAAACATGTTGGTATCTATTTCTGGGGCTGGCCAGCCAGTGGTGTTTTATGACTCCATTTGTTCAATCTACTGTGACAGTTCCCACCAGCCACCAGGGCAGGTACCACCAATGGCTCAGTCTCTAGAACCAGAAAAGTTGGTAGAAGAAGAAGAAAGCAGGGATTTCCATCTTTAGGAGGCCTTTGCACTCCTAGGCCTTTACTATCTCCTGGTCTCAGTGGAGACCGTCAGTCCATCAGTCCATTTGGCTCCAGGCTCAAGGGGTATGGAGAGCTTTGAGCACTGCACCCAGGACGATCTGGAACCCCTGGAAATAGGCATGAGCTCAGGCTTCCACGCCAGCTTTGCCACTTGCCATTTGTGTGGCCCTGAGCTACTGAGTCACCTCCCTGCTCAGTACTCTCACTTGAGGATTCTGCTTGCATCTCACAGGATATTCGAGGTAATCCACACAGACTGTGGCATGGAGAGGGCACATGAAAAGCCCTCAGCAAGTCAGCCCTGCCATTGATAAATATGAGCACCTCTTGAGGGGTTGCCCATAAGTATAATGTGTAGCTAATGTTTTCCTGCCTGGCCCACAGTCAGGACAAATCTCTATCACCCGCCAGTCCCACAGCTGCTCAGACCCAACCAAGTAAACACAGAGACTTATATTGCTTACAAACTCTATGGTCGTGGCAGGCTTCTTGCTAACTGTTCTTATATCTTAAATTAATCCATTTCCATAAATCTATACTTTGCCACGTAGCTCATGGTTTACCGGTGTCTTCACATGCTTCTTGTCATGGCGGTGGCTGGCAGTGACTCCTTCTGCCTTCTTATTTTTTCTTTTCTCCTCTCTGTTAGTCCTGCCTATACTTCCTGCCTGGCCACTGGCCAATCAGTGTTTTATTTATTGAACAATCAGAGTAATTTGACATACAGACCATCCCACAGCAATAATGAGTTGTCAGTGCTAAATGGCATGACAAACCTTGGCGGGCTGTGTGATGGAATAGTGGGTGGGGTAACAGGCACCAAGGAAAGGGTAGGGACACTGCCTGAAAGGGAAGGACAGGCTTTCAGTAGGGTGAATACACGCCATAGCTTGCTCTTGTGGCACCCAAGCAATGTCACCAATCTCTCCAGTTAATGAGCTGTGAACTGTTGGGCTCATTTTTTTTGTCTTTTTGGCTACTAGGGCTACCAAGTTGGGGATTCAAATAAGATGTTAGGACTTAATTGAATGGTGTAGGCCTTTAATGCCAACTATCCCAGGAGGCTACGATAGGAGGATCAGAAGTTCAGGGCTTTCCTGGCTATAGAGTAAGTTCAAATCTATCTTGGGAAACTTAGTGAGACCTCTTAATCTCAAAAGAAGTAGAAGGGGAGGGGGAGTTGCCTAATGTGTACAAGGCCCTAGGTTCAATACCCAGTACTGTAAAATAAATAACAAGCAAATTCAATGATGTCAATGATGAAAAGAAAGATGACCACATGACCAATGAGGACAGCAGTGTGTATTTGGTAGAGACAGGCAGATGATGAAGAAAGGGTTCCTCGCTATGATATAATGGAATTGAGTCTGAGTTTCAAAATTGATACTGCTGCTTATTGGCTTCATAACTTTGGTTGGTACCAGTCCAGTTTTCAAGTGATCAAAGTGGAATGGAAGATTATTCTTCAAAAGAAGGTGTGAGAAATCAGAGGTAACGAATGTGGCACATGTCTCAAGTATATGTCATATGGAAACTCTGCCCCCTGTGTTCCCAAACCAGTGGCACTCTGAAGAACTCTTCTTCCATCCCCTTCCAGGTGCCTCTGGCTCACAATATTTTTGGCCTCATTGGCCCCAATGCAGGCCTTGGCTTTGCCATAGGTAAGTGGTGCCCTCAAAGTCAAAAAGAAGCCTTTGAAAATTTCCTCTGGGTTGGGTTCCTTTCCTCCTCATTTCCTCATCAGAAGAGGATGACGGGAAAGCAGGAAGGGGAGAGAATCTGGCAGATGTGCAGAGGTGGGATCCTGGTTCCTACCTGGACCTGTGTTGGTGCTGAGTGTGGGGACAGCAGGCCAGGGAGGCAGAGTGGAGGGAGATGCTGTAGCTATGGGTAAGCTGACTGATAGCATCCTGCTTTTTTTCTGGCCACAGGCATGGTGGATTCCTCTTTGATGCCCATCATGGGATACCTGGTGGACTTACGCCACACCTCTGTGTATGGGAGTGTCTACGCCATTGCTGATGTGGCATTTTGCATGGGCTTTGCTATTGGTATGTTGGTTGGGGGCAGATGTGAGCTCCCAGGTGTAAGTGACCCAGTCTCCCCTCTCCATTGTAGCTCCACATCTGGATGTGGAACCAGATGCCTTATTCTCTTAGGGATCTGAAGATAGTGGAATCTGCTACAGCCTCTGTGTTTACCCACTTTCCCTAGCATAGTGTTTTACAGGTGACTGATTCGACAAACACTTGGAATTTGATTTATTTTTTCCACAGGCCCGTCTACTGGGGGTGCTGTTGTACAGGTCATTGGCTTCCCGTGGCTCATGGTCATCATTGGTGTCATCAATATCGTCTATGCGCCTCTCTGCTGCTTCCTGCAGAACCCCCCGGCTAAGGAGGAGAAGCTTGTAAGGCACTCTGAGTGCTGAATAAAATACATGTCTGTTTCTTCCTGGGCTCCCCTGACCCTTCACTTTGAGCTCATTTCCTCTCTGCTGGCCATCTCTCTGCTTTGTAGCATTTCTGTTCTTCCTAACACACTTCTCCTTCCCTTTTATCATTTTCTTTCCCTTCTCTCTCTAAGCAACCATGCCCCCTATTATCCGGACCTTAAGTAAAGAAGGAAAATGGGGAGCAAGGCATGGTCACCCACATCTGATATCCCAGCATTTGGGAGACAGAGGTGGTAGGATAGAAGTTCAAGGTCATCCTCAGCTACATATGGAATTAAAGGCTAGCCTGGCCTTCATAAGACCCACTCATAAAAAAATCAAATCAAAACAAAGCTAAATTAAAAAAAAAAGAAAAGAAAAGAAAAATGAGAATCTTACCAAGAGTTAGGGATATTGGCTGTAAAAGGCATCTTGTGGTTACTATAGCAAGACTCAATTTACTAAGTTATCTCTTCTATAAATAGCAGCATTTCATTGAGTATGTCCATTCATCTACTCACATGCTCATTCATTTGAATCTGCCTTTATCCTTATCTGGTGATGCCTTTTTAAAAAATTTACTTCATTTATTTTGTCTGTGTACGGCGCATGCAAGTTAGTGTGTAAGAGGAGGATGTTGTCTTTTATTATTCTTTGCCTTACTGCCTTGAAACAGGGTCTCTCAGTGTACTAGAGGCTTGCCCGTTTGTCTTGGCTGGCTGGCCAGTGAGCTCCCAAGACCTGCCTATCTCTATTTATCACTACTAGGATTACAGGCATATGATCATGCACAGTCTTTTATATGGGCACTGGGGATTCAAGCTCAGTTCTTATGCTTGCAGCTTAGGCCATGTCATTTAAAGTTAAAAAACAGTCTCCAGAGGCTGGAGAGATGGCTCAGAGGTTAAGAACACTGACTGCTCTTCCAGAGGTCCTGAGTTCAATTCCCAGCTACCACATGATGGTTCACAACCATCTGTAACAAGATCTGGTGCCCTCTACTGGCCTACAGGCCACTATATGCAAGCAGAACACTATATAATAAATAAATGAATCTTTAAAAAAAAAAAAAAAAAAAAAAACAGTCTCCAGGTAGAAGATCCTACTATGCTACTTTGCTATTCTTGTAGCATGAACATTCTAGCATCTTAGGGGCCTCATGGATTCAGGTAGGATGTAGAAGTTACTCAAAGGAACAGGAGTAGGCAGAAGGTCTGGAGGGAGGAGTACCCATTTCAGCCAACTTCTTGCTATGCCTTGTACCTACTGATGCTAGGATGCCAACACAAGCACATCAGATGTTTTCCCTGACTGGACTTGATATGCCCAGGTACTTTGGAAGGCCTGGGCCTATTCATGAGGCAGAAAGAGAACGCTATACTTACATCCTGAGTTTTTCTAACACTAAACTTGGATATGCTAGTGTGGACACAAAACAGGATGGTCAAAGCTATGCAGTAATATCTATACTTGTCTCTTGCTGCAGGCTATTCTGAACCAAGAATGCCCCATGGAGACCCAGATGTATGCAACCCAGAAGCCCACAAAGGAGTTTCCCTTAGGGGAGAACAGTGATGATCCTGGAAGTGAGGAGTAGCTGAAGAGGGTGATACCTGTGCCCCATCCCAGGTGACTCCATAAGGCTTGGATTTCAGTGACCACCTGCTCCCCAGGGACCAGATCACTGTGGACCGTTTGACGGGTTTTGCTTTCCTTTCTTCTGGGTGTCTCCCTTCCCAGTGATATCTTGTCCTTACTCACCTGTGCAACCCACCATTCTCCCTCTGTGCTGTGACGCCATAGGTGGCCCTTTTTTTGTGGGAGGACAGTGCTACCTCCTGCCAGACCAGAGTGAGGCTGATTGAAGTTGAGTTGTGACAAGTTCTGCAAGGGATGACTCACTTCCTGCAGGCAGTCCTGAACAATGTGCCTGCGAAACCAGAGGGACCAATGGCAAGCCTGGCTTTGCTCTCTGGTTTTCTTTGACATATTTTCAACAGATCATGAGATTTGATCTCTGTCCTGTAATTTGTTCCCCCTGAATTTTCCGGTTGAGCTTCAATAGATAGTCTTTTGCTTATTTTAAAATATGTATATATCTTTATGTGTAGGTGTATGTGTAAAATGACTTCACCCTCATTAAATAAAGCCTTCCTACTTTCTTCATTACCCAACTGAAGGAAAACAAGCAGCTTTCTCAGGCTTGAATTATGTCTGTTTTTGTGATTTCTCATGTGTTTTTATCTTTCCTGAACCTCTTAAACTCTTAAAATAAAAGTAGCTGAAGGACAGAAAACAAAACAAAACAAACAAACCAAAAAGCAAGCAAAACCCCAAACCAAGAACATTGCTTTAGACCCAAGAGTTCTCTGCATGAAGCGAAGAGAAACTTGAAATGTCTCCCAATGTGTGTTTCCTAACACTAGGAGTAGAATAAGTCGTTCATTGTTCACACGTGTCAATGAGTAAGTCATTATCCAATTCAGACATGATAAGCCAGATGCCTCTTTGTGGCAGGAGAGAGTGTGTGGGAAAATACAGTGGGTGTTACAAATTTTGCTACATTTTTGAAATAATTATTGGGTGATGGAGACGCAAGGGTACGGGAGACATGACACTCACCCTAAGCAGTTTTCATTTGTTTAAGTAAACAGAATAAAATTTACAAACAACCCAAGTGAGTGTATACTATTCATGGATGCTCAGGTCTGGGTGGGGGATAATAGCAGAGACAGAGGTGGAGAAAGGATGCTGTGGAGGTACCTTGATGTCAGACAGGGGTGGTCAGCCTCTACCCAGAGTGACACCTGGGTGACTATGTTCTTCCCTGGGAGCTGGATAGGTTCAGGACAAACCCTAATTCACTAGAACTCATTTTGGCTGACTCTCAATGAATCTGTGTCACTTAGACAATGAATAATCTGATTAGTGGATGTGTTTTTGGGAGTTTGGCTTTAAAACTAGACTTCCTTGATTTGCAGAGCCAGATAGACTTGTATCATTTAGTGCAAATGACATGCTTCTCACATTTTGAAGAAGCCTAAAGGTGAAATTAGCACATTATTTACCTGAATATCTAAGCCATAGTTCCCAATGAAGGCAGAGAGAGAGAGAGAGAGAGAGAGAGAGAGAGAGAGAGAGAGAGAGAGAGAGAGGCGTAAGCAGGCCACCAGAGCTTTAAAGAGGGAAGGGAGGGGGCAGATCCATGTGGGTGGGGTCGGCCTTGTTACAGGGACAGCTAGTGCGCATTTCAAAACAAAGGAAGAATTTAGCTGAAGTTATCTGGAGGATAAACTTAGTCTTTATTAGTGGTCCTGTAAGAAACATAAAAAGAACGCATGGCCAGCCTGAGCTACCAAGTGAGCTCCAGGAAAGGTGCAAAGCTATGCGGAGAAACCCTGTCTCGAAAAACAAAACAAAACAAAACAAACAAACAAACAAAAAAGAATGCATGGTAAGCCTCAAACATTGGCAGGTCATAATAATTTTCAAAAATTGAAAATGTCAATCCAGTGAAAAAGCGGCAGCTGTTCCAAGAAGCAGATGATCTGCCCCACAAAATAACTGAGATGTACTTTTCTCCTCATAAAAGGAGGCAGTGCAAAGAACACTCAATGATGGTCGAACAAAGAAGGCAGAAGAAAATGCCAGCGAGATGTTGGACACTCTCAGAGTGTAGACAAATGTAAAGCCTTTATTTCCTAATACAAATGTGTGGCACTGCCGCATCTCATGGAGAGGCAGACCAAACAGGAGGAGTTGGAGAAATACAGAAAAGGTATTTAGGATGATGGCAGGGAAAGTGGTGTAGGAGAGACAGGAAAACTCATATGGGGAGGAACCCAAGTCCAAGAAGCTAGGATTAACATGGCTTGCACCTTCTAGAAAGGTCTGCTTATGGTATCCTCAGAGCCTCAGGGTGCGTCCACAGTCGAGTGGTCCTACAATGTCAGTGAGCTGAGACTGGGGTGACTTGAAGAATATTTTCTCCCAGTGTGTTGCCTTCCTTATGGGATCCATTCTTCTATGGTAAGGCATGAGTTGAAGAAGTGACTGTTAGAAAAGATTGCACTCTGTCACTCTCGTGTGTAAGTCCTCTGAGGTTGACATGAAGGAAGGGCAATGTAACCTGTCCACATAGCACTTCAGATCCCACAGATGGCACGCAGCAGGAAGTCTGAGGGGTCTTTAGTTAGTTCTTGTTAGTTGTAACTGGGTAGGCAGAGCTACATGGGCCATCACCAGAATCCACAGGGATTATACAGTTTGGGCCTCCTGAGTTCACCCTACAACCTTGTGTACCAGACACACACTCTCTGGATCGTAGAAGAATGCAGCCAGACAGTTCTCCAGTTATGCTGGGAGGGGCCCAAGAGAAGAGTGGTCATAAGTAACCGGGTAGGAGTAAATGAAGTGTTAGGTTTGAATATGAAATATCCCTTTTGAGGCTCATGTATCGAATGCTTGGTTCCCAGTTGATGGTGTTATTTTAGGAGGTTCTGTAAACTGTAAGGCAAGGCACGGTTGAAGGAAGTGTGCCACAGGGGTGGGGGTCTTTCAAGGGGCTGTCTTGTACTGGCTCCTTCCTGTTCTCCTGCTTCACGGCCACCTTTAGATGAATAAGGACCTCTGCCATGTGCCATCCTAACATCCTGCCCCGATATGGAGGGCCATTAGCCATGGGCTGGAGCCCTCTGAAACCAGGAGCCTCCAGCTGTCCTACAGGAGTTAGTCACAGTGGTAAGAAAGCTGACTAATTCACACACCTGCCTGTCCTGCCTGTGTATGTGAGCATGGCTTTCTGTGTTTCCTCTGCATGTATAAGATGTGGGGATAGCTTCCAGAGAGTCAGGGACAGGGCCTCTGCGAAGAGCCCTTAGCAAAGCCAAGAGGCAGCAAGCCCGGGCGCGCCTCCATCTCAGAAATACAATTGTAAATCCCCGCGCCCGTTTTCTTCTTTGCCCTCTTTCCTCTGCTTCTACCTCTCCTTTTCCTCCCCACTCTCCTCTTCCCTGCCCCCCTTTTGTCCTTCCAGCTCCTCTTTCTCTTCCTCCCCCTTTTATTCTTGTTCTAGAGAATGAAGAACACAGTGTTAGCAGAGGCAGGAGAATGATCAAGGTCTGTTCAGATTTGTCCACCAGGTTGAGTCATTACACAGTCTCCAGCATAAAGATGCTTTAGTCAGTGGTGGATTGAATATGATAGGGGTCCCATGAGATTATAATAAAGCTCAAATATTCTCGTTTCCCAGTGATGTGTCTTAATGCCACACTTGTCTATGGAGATAGTGGTGTATATATAAACCTTCCATGCCAGTCATATAAAAGTTGAGCACAGTTATGTGTGTGATACTTAATAATGACAATAAATAACCATGTTAGTGGGTTTATGTATTTACCATGTTGCACTTTTTAATGCTTTGTTTATTTTACTTTTTTATGTATGACTGTGTTGCCTACATGCACATCCCTGTACCATGTGTATGTCTGATGTCCTTGGAGGTCAGAAGAGAACAGATGCCCTGAAACTGGAGTTACAGAAGGTTGTGAGCCATCTTGTGGTTGCTAGAAGTATAACTCAGGTTCTCTCTCTCTCTCTCTCTCTCTCTTTTTTTTTTTTTTTTTTTTGTTTTGTTTTTTTTGAGACAGGGTTTCTGGGTTTCTTCTCTTAAGCCCCTCCCAGCATAACTGGAGAACTGTCTGGCTGCATTCTTCTACGATCCAGAGAGTGTGTGTCTGGTACACAAGGTTGTAGGGTGAATTCAGGAGGTCCAAACTGTATAATCCCTATGGATTCTGATGATGGCCCATGTAGCTCTGCCTACACAGTTACAACTAACAAGAACTAACTAAAGACCCCTCAGACTTCCTGCTGCGTGCCATCTATGGGCTCTGAAGTGCTATGTGGACAGGTTACATTGCCTTTCCTTCATGTCAAAGATCTTTGAGCCTTTCTTGGATCTCGCTCTTTAGACCAGGCTGGCCTCGAACTCACAAAGATCCGCCTGCCTCTGCCTCCCAAGTGCTGGGATTAAAGGCGTGCGCCACCACTGCTGAGCCATTTCTCCAGCCCCCATTATATACCCCATTATATACCTTTTATGATGATCACATACACATACACACACACACACACACACACACACACACACACACACACACACACACGACAGGGTCTTATGTAACCAGGCCAGCCTTGAACTTCCTTATTCTTCAGAGTTGAATGCTGGGATTACAGGCATGTGCCACCACACTGTTTATATTGGTGCTGGAGATGGGACCCCTAGTTTTGTGCATCTAATATGAACTCTATCTGCAGCCCCTACTTAATGTATTTAAAATAGCTTCCGGTAGGTCCTTTAGGATTCATTCAGAAGAATGAATTCAGAAGAATTCAGGCATTGTTATTGTAGGGGCAATGTCAGCTCCATGCAAGCTTTTACCTTTGGAGAACTTCCAGTATGAAAAGGGTAGAAGACCTTGTACAGGCCTGACTGACTACTGTATATGTTTTTGTCTTCATTTTTAATTAAAAAAATTAAATTTAAAAGTAGCAACAAGTTTATATAATGAATCTGTAAAGACAAAATGTTTTAGTGGCTTTATTTTTGTTTATTGGAGGTATGTTACAGATGGTTGTCCTAAGTAACATAGGTTTACCTTGAACTCACAACAATTCTCCTGCCCCAGCCTTCTGCATCCTGTATGACTATGACTATATGAGCATATGGCTATGCTTACCTAGAAAAATATTTTTGTATAGTTGTATTTTTTAGCCAAGTATTATTTGACAAAAAATATTTTAGAAACCCAGAAAAATTAGAAGCTTTTTAAAGTAAAAATGTTAGAGCAACCTAAATTAGTTTATTATTAAAAATAATTTAAAAATAGATGTAGCGAAGTCCATGTGTATAGTGCTCGTAAGGCCTTCAGCAGGGTATGGTGACATCTTCCACATTCCCTCCCCACCCAGTTCCTGACTCCCAGACTTCTAGTCCTGCAAGCTCCATAAGGGGACGTGCCCCAGTGGGTGTGCCACTGAGGCCCTCATACTGTCCTGCCATTGTACCTTTTATTTATTTGGATACATTTAGATACTCAGATGCTTAACCACTTGTGGAGTTACCTGAATTGTTCTACCATTGTCCCTAGTGTTCAGTACAGAAATGAGCCCTGCGGATTTGTGGCTTGGGAACAAAGAAGGCTATGCCATGTAGCCCAGGAGTCTGCTGGGCCACGCCTTCAGGATTTGTCATCCAGGCAGTGCTCGTATACTGAGTTACACCTCCAGTCTTTGTGTTTGCTTTTTGTTTTCTTTCGGTCACCCAGGTTTGTCTTGAATTCATTCCATATCCCAC